GCTGAGGGAAAAGTCCTTGTTCAGAAAATTCATACGAAGGACAATCCAGTTGATATGCTTACGAAGCCTCTTCCGGTTTATAAGTTCAAGCAGTGCTTGGATTTGGTTGGTGTTCATTGTTGGTGATTGCCCGTTTGGGCTTTTATGAAGAAGGTGGAGCAAGTTTTGTTGGGACATGCCAAGGTGGAGATTTGTTAGTTTGGCAAGTCCCATAGTCCCACATCGGGAAAATCAGACTTGTTGTCTCGTCGTGGAACTATAAATAAGGGCCTGAGCTTTGATGTTAGACACACCACGAGAGGTACCACAGACACCACAAGAAGTACAGCAGGCATCACAAGAAAACCTGCTTATGGTTTGAAGTCTTCTTGTTTAGGAAGCTGAAGGTGTTTTATGGCCTAGAAACATTTCCTAAGGCATTTATAAGTGTCCCTCTTTTATAGTAGTGATTTGCTCCTCCTTCGTCCGTGGATGTAGGTCAATTGACCGAACCACGTATATCTGGTGTTCTGGTGTTCTTGTCGCTTTTATTCTTTCCGGTTTATTGTCTTTGTTGTGTTGCCAAAATTATCCTTTGGTAAATATCCTGGGGCTAGCTCTAACAATAACTGTTACCAACTCGATTGTGCTGCGGCAGATAGGTAAGTTAACACAGCTTCAGAAGCTAAGTATCGATTTTACTGTGAGAAACGGACGTACGGACGTTCATATCTTTCCTGAAGACACCCGAAGAACAGAGCACTTCGTCGAATTGCTTTCGAAGCTCGACAGTTGCCTTCGTTCCTTAACCATTCTCGACAATAGCAATGGCCTGGGTCAGATTCTAAACAACCTACATAGACCACCCGTGCTCCTCCATAACATATATCTCGTGGGCTTTATCCAAACTTTGCCGGACTGGTTCTCATCACTTAACCGGATTGTGAAGATAACACTACGGTTCACATTCCTATTGCGAGATGCTGTCCAAGTCTTGAAAATTCTTCCGGCACTTACCCAGCTAGTACTTGGATTTAATTCA